TGTGCAAAATACCATACTATTCGGGCGGATATTACACGCTTGGTGCACAATAAAAGGCAAATCGGACGAAGATATATATGGAAGCTATATCTAAATTTTTACCGATTATCTCCATAGGGATTCGTCCTTGGCCCCAACAAATAATTTGTGCAAAATTTCATCTGGATCGAGTGATAAATGCGAACTGTACTTTGTTCACAAAAATACATCGACAGACGGACGGACATGGATAAATCGACTCAGAATGTGATTCTATGCAGATCATCAAAAGGAACTATGGTTCTCTCTCGTTTCCTTTTGCATGTTGCAAACAAATGCACAAAGACATAATACCCTGACCACCTTGTGGTGTAGGGTATAAAAATGCTAGGTCAGGATAATATAAAATGCGAAAATGGATAATATCGGCCAAACCATCAAGTAACTCCCCCACAAAGAGTCAAAATTTGAAATAATTATAACTCATATAAAATATGAAATAAGAGTCCGATTGCCTTCAAATTTCACACATCTAAATATTTTTATTAACAGAAAAAGTGATGGAATACATCGGTCCACTTCTTGTGTTACCTCCACGAGATCTGGTGTGAAGATGGAATATATATCACTCCTTCTTGTACCTTCGTCACAAAGGGTCAACATTTTGAATAATCATAACTCAAGTCAATATATGTGTGGAAACAAACAGACATTGGCTGTCAGCAAAACCGACTGACTTCACACATATTAAACTTTAGCTAGATCTGATCTTTTATAAACGTACAGTTTTCTATGGAGTAAAATAAAATAAATAAAAATGTTGACCTTTAACCCCCAATAATATGTTTTGCACACATGCAATCGAAGGGAGACTTTTTTGTTACGGTAAATGCTAGTCTTTGAATATTTCTTTTCTTAAAATAGATACATTTTTCCCGTCTCTTTCAGCCTCATACAACATCAATCATTCTTGAATGGACGAACTTCGGTCACAATGAGTCTACCATCACCTGATTACTCATTCTGCTGTTACTTCGCTCTCTTCTTGGTAAATAGTTTATAAAATGCTTCAAATCGAATACATTGCCATGTCTATTTACTGTCTTTCGCAGCGGAGTAATAGTAGCAAAGCCTGATACCAAGCAGATCAACTGGCAACTTAAGGCTTTGTTTTGCATATCCCAGCCAGCGATAGCCACACGAATTCCATTCACCTGCAAAGTGGACAGAAGCGGTGGCCGGTGGCGGACTTGTCCAATGTGATTGTTGTTACTGTTACGGGTAATTTGTCAGTGGCATGATCACTGGACAGTTTCCTGTCGTAATGACCATCTAAGATTGTGTACGCATCCAGCTCCGAACAAAAACACAACAAGAACGACAAATTAACCGACACCAACATTTGCTGTTGTGGCTGCCACATTGAGTGAGGCTATCTCGTTTACAAAATCATTATCGTTGTTGCATTTGCATCGCCGCTAATGACAGTGTTTGAAAGCCATTAAAAGTTTTATGGAACGCATTCATATTCCGGTAGCATTTGGTTTAGTTTCACATTTGCCTCGGCGACAATGTACTCTGGGTTGGCAGGTAGTTTGTTTTTTTTTTTTTTTTTTTTGGAATGGACTATTGTCGGTTTATCACCTGGACATCGGCAACAATAATTTCTCAACCACACTCAGTCTAATAGTACATGAGAAAAATTATGTAATTAGTAAGGGCTATACAAGAGCGACAGGAACACTTAGTGTGAGACATAACTAAAACATTACAGTCGTATTTTTTAAACCAAACATTTTTGAAAAGAAACGTGAGATTTCAAGGGAAATTAGATTTTTCAATTTAAAAAAAAGTCACACAGTATGTAGCCGAAAATTATGAAAGACTTATATTTGAGATGGATGAGAAGATAGTTTTAAAGTCAATTTACACATAAATGACCAGAGTATTTGGGAGGGACATTGAGTAATTGAAAATAAGTAAGATAGTAAAAAACAGGTTAAAAGCATCAGTCGGTTGTGGTGACGGAAATATACCTTCAGCTTATGTTTGATAATACCGAAGGGGTGGTCCAATATTTTCCATTTCGCATATGACCTGAGTCTGATATTATACGTACTAGGTTTGGACTATATCGAAAACTTCCTTCCCTTCATTTGAGATAGTTGTATATATTTTTTGGAAGTGTAATAATTATTTATTTGGTTTTTTTGAAATTTATTGGAAATCAAATTTTTTTACATTTTGTGGGGCAGTGGGGCGAAGACTTGGAACGACAGATTGCATATTTGCATTACATATGTGGCTTATGGAAATATTATTATTTTACCCTTTGTGGGGGAGGTAACTGAAAGAAAGGGCCGATGAATTCCATATTCACACTAGAAGTAATGTCGATGAGGGTATCGCACTGTGCGACGTTAGAAGATACATCGAATAATTATTTTTAATTTTATGACACCTGAATTATTTCAAAAGGAGAATGTTGATATTCACATAGGATTTCGAGTTTAGTCAATCAATGAATCGCATGTTAAAAGGGTCATAAGTACCCAAAAATGTTGGGGTAGGTACTAGAAGAAGTGGGCCGTTTGCTTATTTCGCATTTTATGAGAAGCATAATTATTCCAAATTTTGAGCCATTCTGGGGGAGGTATCAAAAGGGGTAGGCCGATGTCTATCATCTTCGCACCAGATCTTGTTTTAGTAAAAAAAGTGAGATGTGCCAAGTTGGAGGAGAATCGAATTCTTATTTCATATTATATGACCGTTTTGATAATTTAAAAGTATGACCCCTTTGTGGGGGAGATACCGGATGGAGTTGGTCGATATTCACACAGGATCATGTGGCAATGGAAATATTAGAATGTGTGAAATGTGAAAAAAAATCGGAAGCTGATTACGCATTTTATGAGCCTTTTTTTTCAAAAATTTGATCCGTCATGGACCCTTGATGGAGTGGTTCTATATATCTAATTTTTGCTCCAGATCTTGTGTTAAAAAAGTATTGGGATGTGCCAAGTTTAAAAAGAATCGGAAGCTTATAACGCATTGTATAAGCGTTTTGTTTATTCAAAAATTTGTTACATTTGTAGGGGAGGTTTGCACAAAATGGAATGAACGTTTCTTGTTCAATAAGGTAAATTATTTTCTGGGACAATTGGGACCTTTTGTGGGAGGAGGTACCAGAAGGAGTGGACCGATATTGTCCATCTCTGAACTCGATTTAAAATGGATGGTAATATTACGATGTACCAAGTTTGAATCACAAGCTAGCCAGCCAGACCGCCACCCCTAGATCGACTCCCAATGTCCTGAAACGGATTTGGTCCAAATAGACCTAGGGTCGAATTGGTTGTCGGACACACCATACACTCAACTACTGTTACAATCTATTATTGATATTTAACGATTTTTATATATCCTCAGGTTACATCTTATTTTATAGAGCCAAAATGTGTCTCATCGAAATAACAGGTCTAGATCCTAGGTCACTTTGAAGCAAATTCGTTTTAGGAGTCAATCTAAGGGTATCCGCCCGTCCGTCAGGCTGGTGCGCACCATAGCTATCGAAGGTTATATCCGATTTGGTCCAAACTTGGTATATCGTAATTTTATTGACAAACTTAGATTGAGTTCGGAGATGGGCAGCATCGATCCATTCCTTCTGGTATCTCTCAGACAAAAGATCGACATTTTCCAACATAATATTTGACTGCACCGAAAAAGAAAGGACAATTAATATTTTTTCTGACTTATTAAATCCTAATATTTGTATCAGTGCTAGGTCAGGTGCGAAAATGAACATTATCGTTCCACTCCATCAAGTACCTCCCCAACAAAGGGTCAACATTTTGAATAATAAAAAAAAATTGACAAAAGAGTCCGATTCTCTTCAAATTTCAACCATCACCATATTTTTCTTAACCCAAGGTCTGGAGTGTAGATAGAATATATCAGTCCACTCCCCCACAAAGGGTCGAAATTTTGAATATGCATGAAGCGCATAAAACGCGAAATTAACATCCAATTCCATTCAAACTCGACACAACTCAATATTTCTATTAAAACAAGATTTCTTATAATGATGGTATAGACCGGACGATTCCTTCAGGTACCTCCTCCACAAAGTAGTTTTGAAAAACCAAAACGATTGTGAAATCCAAAATAAGCATCTGCTTCCCTTAATATTTCATATGAAGATGGGATAGATGGGCCCACTCCTTCTGCTACCATCCCACAAAGGGTCAAAATCAAATGGGAGATACACCATTCAGATTTGGTGTATCTCAATATTTTCATCAACACAAGATCTGCTTCAAAGATGAGAAAGATCAGACCATTTCTTCTGGTACCTCCCATACAAAGGGTCAACATTTTGTTTTTCAAAATTTTCGCTCAGACATAAACATACAACGTCGCAATATTTATATCATATTTATTTAGGTCCGATACGAAATGGTCAATATTGGCCCATTCCTTCGGAACCAACTCCATAGGGTCAACATTTTGAATAATCATAATAGAAATCAAAACATATTTAAATAATCGAACATTGGCTGAGGGTATAAATCTGTCGCAAAACCGACTGACACTTTTTTCAGTTAACTTTAAATGGAATTTACATTGGCCAACACAGCGTATGCCCTTAAAAGTGCATTGCACTTCAAACATCAGATAACAATTGTTTTTATTAAGAATTATTAATCCTACTTCAATAACTTTTGATTTATTAGGATTCCTATCTCAATATGGCAAATCAAGTAAAGGCATGAAACATATGATTTTCAGCTATCTGGTACTATCGCTAGACTTTCTACCCACTGCCGAACTTAACTAATTTTTAGATGATAAGGTGTTTAGTTTGTTAACTGTCCACAAAACATTCTGAAGTCCACACTTATGCGAATTGTTAAGGCTAATCCATCGTAGATAACAATCGATAGCATTTGGTTGGAGTTTTAAATCATCCGAGTGCGAGATAATGCACGAATGGCCTATATAAGTTTGCAACTATTCTGGGTCAGGCATTAGTTTCAAAGTTAGTTCCCTTTGGAAAACATGAAAGTTCTTTTAGTCTGTGCTCTGTTTGTGGCCTGTGCCCATGCGGGTCTGGTTTCGTCCGTTAAGGAGCGGATAATGCCCAGTTTTGCCACTGGCCGCATTATCAAGGGTGAAGATGCCGTACCACATTCGGCTCCCTACATTGTCTCGTTGAGCAAGACTTCCAAGCATTCCCACATATGTGGCGGTAGTTTGATCAACAAGAATTGGATTTTGACCGCTGCCCACTGTATCAGCAATCCTGTGGGTATGGGTGTTGTTGCTGGCCTGCATCAGCAAAAATCTTTGGACTCGAAGACCCAATCTCGTGTTGTCGACTATGGCAAAGTTCACGAATTGTATGGCGGAAGTGTTGGACCCTATGACATTGCGATTTTACATGTTTCCCAACCTTTTGAATTCAACGAATGGGTTAAACCTATTGCCTTGCCTGCTCCTGAAGAAATTCCCGCCGGTGAGACGCATTTGTATGGCTGGGGTCAACCGAAGGCTTTCTCTTTCTCGGCTGCCAATACTTTGCAAACGGTAACCACACAAATTGTTGAATTCGATAAGTGCAAGAGCGTCTTGCCAGCCGATGCTCCTTTGGCCGAGTCCAATGTTTGCTCCGATTCCTTGCAACAGAGCATTTCTGCCTGCAACGGTGACTCTGGCGGTCCATTGGTCAAGGAATACGCTGAAGGTAGTGCTGAATTGATTGGCATTGTTTCGTGGGGTTATATTCCCTGCGGCATGGCCAATTTGCCATCGATTTACACTCGTGTCTCGTCGTACATTGAATGGGTTAACGCTGCTCAAACTAACTTCTATTTGGCTAAAAATTAGGGTATTTGGTTTGATTTATGGCTAACGAAAAGAAAAAAAAATAGAAAATTGTAAATATGTATATACACCTTTTTCGATAAAATAAACTTTAATATGATTTTATAAGGTACGCTCACAAGTTTTAATATTTTGTAGATGTCGTAGATAGGATTGTTTCAGAAATGTGTCATGGCCTATAAAAAATCGGCTAGTAGGGATATCTGACCTTTTTGATAAAATAAACTTTTATATGATTTTATAAGGTACGCTCAAAAGTTTTAATATTTTTTTGGTGTCGTAGATAGGAATGTGTCAGAAATCTATATGGAATCCGAAAATAAATAAAGGTCTGCCAGTAGGGATATCTGACAACTAATTTTTATGTCAAAAGACAAAATTGTGATTTACAATTCAAAGAGAGTCAAATCACAATGGGTTGAAAATTAATAAGTTTATTGTCAAAATGTTGTCATATATAGTCCGCTTGGCTGACCTCACGTAGGCCTTGGTAAATATATTAAAACCAAGCAATCCCAAAAAAAAAAAAAAAACTGTAAGGAAAGGTGAAAAGTCGGTCGGGGCCGACTATATGCAACCCTACACCACTATGCTTATTTAGTAGAGCTCAAGTGGCTCAAAACAGTTTTAATTGGGAATTTATGTGAAGTAGATCATATGAACTGTGAACCAATAACACTGCTGTATAGTGCATATATATATATATATATATATATATATATATATATATATATATATATATATATACTATGGAGGGTACATTAACTTTGTCATTCCGTTTGTAACTCCTCGAAATACTCAAGTCAGACCCACGCTATCTTTCGAATGAATTGAGATAGATGGCTAAAATTTTGCAGTAGGCAGGTTACGTTCGTAAATGGGCCATGTAGGTCCACGTTTTCATATAGCCCCCATATAACGGTACCTCCCTATATTCGGTATTTTGATTATTTTAGTCACATTATTCACCGGGATTGTTTTAAAATTGGTATTTGAAGTTCGTAATGACTACTACAGTCTAAGATAGAAAATTGTCTGTGCAAGTCCATGTCTTCGTATAGCCCCCTTATAACGGTACCTGCCGATATTCGGTATTTTGATTATTTTAACGACATTATTCACGGGAATTGTTTCAAAATTGGTATTTGAAGTTCGTAATGGATGCTACAGCCTGTGACAGAAAATTGTCTATGCTGGTCCAGGTCTTCGCACAGCTCCAATTTAACGGCACCTCCTTATATACGATATTTTGATAATTTTAGCTACATTATTCACCGTTTATATCAAGTTTCGAATTTGAATATGGTAATAGCTTATGACAAACAATGTCTATGTATGTCCACGTCGTATAGACCCCAATATAACGGCTATTTTTTAAGGATTTTATTTTTTGAAAATTTCTAAATTCGTTGCAAATGGTGGCTTTTTCACTTGTTTTATCATAAAATTCTAATATAGGTCCGAAAAGACGTCAAAAGTATAAATCCTACCCAAATGCCAACAATTTATACATATATGTTACATATGAGGGTTAAAGCCGTACTTTGTGCGATTTTGTATAAACATCTCCCCCAAATCTTCATTTTAGAAGGATGACGTCACAGACAACATTATTCTTTACCACATTTCACTAAATGTTCCCAAATCAAAGAAAGAACTATATTCATTGTCTATCAAAAAAAAAATATTTACATCAATGTTCCTAAAAAACCAAAAGGTTCTTATATTTTCCCTTCTTGCACCTAACCCTGCAAATTTGAAAATGTTGCCTAAAATGATCCTTTCTTTTTCTATGAGGTAAATTTTTATTTTCTATGAAATGTTTTATCTTTAGTGGGGTGGTACCAGAGGCAGTGGACCGATATTTCTCATCTCCGAACTCGATCTAAGTTGACAAAAATGTTACGATGTACAAGAATTGTGGCAACATTTTTCTCAACAAATATCTTTCATTCGTTGGTAATTGTTTCTTTGCCATTTTGTCACCCTTAACATTGATGTCATCTTTATGGCCAGTGGTCTTGTGTAAACCTCAAGATATATTATGTTCATCACAACGCACGACTGGGGGAGGGGGGAGCTCCAGCAACTTACAAACAATATGCCGCCATTAATTTTTATTAATGTTTTGTGATTATTTACAAATAATATTATGTTGATAACCTCTGGCGGTGGGTTTTTGTTGCATGTTTACCCAATGCCTCCCCTCCCACCCCTCACGGCAAATGAGTGGTTGGTATCTTCTGCTTTATTGGAACTTGGCTGTTATACCCATATCCACACAACATTGTGTCATTGTTACAGCATTGATTTCGGTTTGCAACCAATAACTGTAACTAGAACTTGTTAAATAATAATTACAAGAAGTTGCCCCCAAAAAAAGTACCCAGCGATTACACGAAGGCTACTTTATATTCCACGAAAACCGGCTTTGTGAAAAATTATGGTCGTCTTTTCTTTTTCTTTTTGGGGAAAACGCCTCTATCAATTCACCGTCAACGGAGCACCATTCATGCCACATGACATGTCATTGAACTTGTCTTGTCCTCAGTCGCTCACAGCGACAGTTAAGAACTTTTCACCTAAGCTATTCACATCGTTCCCAAATAAAAATCAGCAGCAGCAGCGTCGAGTTTAGAAACACCGAAAAAACATCAAAAACCGAAAAACAATTAACATATGCTTCGAGCGAAAAACGGTGCACTAACCTATATTTTTATGACCCACAGAACAAACGGGCAGAAGAGACTCACTCACAATTGTGTTCATTGGGACTCAAGAGCAGAGACAAGCAAAAAAAATGGGAAATACATCATAAAAAGTAATAAAATTTAAAACGGTCTTACAAATATATGAACCCAAAAAATGTGGCAGACATACTTGTGGGGAACATTTTTGTATGAATGAATGGTTGGATGGATGGATGGATGAACGAAGAAGCAAAAGTCTCAACGAAATGAAATGGAATTATATATATGAAATTACACGAACAATTTCAAAGAGATATACATAATAAAATAAATAAAATAGAATGTCGACAGACTAATGCTCGGTTACATATAATGAGTTTTAACAAAACTAAACAATATTTTGGAGAAATGTTTTGTTAAGATTTTTAGTAAAAAAGCATATTAGTTCGGCCCGGGATCAGAATTCTACAGCCTATGCCAGAAAATTGTATATGCAGGTCCAGGTCTTTATATGTATATCCTCCATATATCAGTACCTCCCTATATTCGGTATTTTGATGATTTTATGTACAAAATTTGCCGAAATTTCGTGTTTGAAGTTTCTAATTGGTACTTCAGCCTGTGACAGAAAATTATCTATGCAGACCCACGTGTTCATATAGCCTCCATGTGAAGGTATCTTCCAATATTCGGTATTTTGATTATGTTAGCTACATTATTCACCGGAAATTTTTTTCAAGTTTCGTATTTGAATATTGTAATGGCTTATGACAAAAGCTGCCTAAGCAGGTCCACGTCTTTGTATAGACCCCAATATAATGACCAAATTCGGTATTTTTAAGATTTTAACAGAATTTTTAAAGGATTTCATTTTTATTTATTTATTTTTTTGAAAATTACCAAATTCGTTCCAAATGGTGAAGGGTATTAAAAGTTCTCATTTTCAATTTTTTTTAAGTTGAATAATGTCGCCAATATCACCAAAATATCGAAATAGAGAGGTACCATTATGTGTTCGGTATGTAAGGTCTTGTGATTTCTTCCAATATGAAATTCGAAACAATTCGGGTATATAATGGAGTTAAAAACATTGAAATACTAAATATTTCAAATTCTAAATATTTCCCAAAGTCGGGCGGGGCCAACTTTATGACACCCTACACCACTTTGCTAATTTAGTAGCAATCAATAATCAAAAGTTTTTATGGGAGAATTCAATCATACACGCTATGATTATAATTATAATTTAAAGTTCAAAGGACAAAATATGCCGAAGCATTTGTATCTTTTAAATTCGGACTTGTATTGCCCATATGGTGCGAAATTAATTTGAAATCAGATAAAGATATATATGGGATATCCAAATCTGAACCGATCTCGATAAAATTTGGCAAAGATATTTCTGAGCTGTATTTGATGTATTTCCCTGAATATCGTTGTTACGGAGTGCTTATTAGGGCTGTGGGTAACAAATACAACAAATCGGATGAACAATATATATAGGAGCTATAGCTATATATGAACCGATTTCGATAAAGTTTGGCATACTTATTTTCAGGCCTAATTTGGTTGTATGTGCCAAATTCCATACTATTCGGGCTGATATTACACGTTTGGTGCACAATAAATGGCAAATCTGGGGAAGATATATATGGGAGCTATATCTAAATTTTTACCGATTATCTCCAATTTCAGTAGGGTTCGTCCTTGGGCCAAACAAATGATTTGTGCAAAATTTCATCTCAATCGGATAATAAATGCGACCTGCATTTTGTTCAAAGGAATACATGGACAGACGGACGGACGAACGGACGGACGGACGGAGAGACGGACTGACATGCATAAATCAACTCAGAAAGTGATTCTGTGGAGATCCTCAAAAGTAACTATGGGCCTATCTCGCTTCCTTTTCCATGTTACAAACAAATGCAGAAAGATATAAACCCTTACCACTATGTGGTGTAGGGTATAAAAACGTGGACCGTCATGACCCATTTACTTGAAATAAGTGGGACTTACTCCTCGAAATGCTGGGCGGGGTCAGAAAATTTAGCAGGATTCAAAGTCTGAGACGAAGAAAAAATAACTCGGCTTCGGGTAAAAATATTTTTTTACCCTCCACCATACTATGGAGGGCATATTAACTTTGTCATTCCGTTTGTAACTCGAACTCGAACTTCGTCTGTCCGTCTATCTGTCTGTTGTAATCACCCTATCTTTCGAACGAATTGAGGTAAAGGGATACAATTTTGCACACATGTGTATTTTGCCAGTAGGCATGTCGGGGTGCACGTTTTGGTATAGCCCCCATATAACGTTACCTCCCGATATTCGGCGTTTTGAAGATATAAACGGAATTGTGTTAAATTTCATATTGGAACTACAACCTATGACAAAAAAAACTTATGCAGGTCCACGTCTT